GTAACATAGGTTAAATTTTATTTCGGAAAAAAATAGAGTTCCGTAACATTAGATAATGTAGTCCACGCGCGCGAAGCCGCGGGCGGAAAGCTAGTCTTTTATAATAATGTAAAAAAAGCAATTACTTCTGGAGGAAATTGAACCTACCTATCGCTTGCCAGGTGACTTCTAACCAGCGCAATGCCAAAATACAAATAACTACAATACTATTACTAATTTGTCTTGATTCACAACTCCACCAGTAAACTGGGCGGTTAGATTCCGCCCTAAACCCAAGTTTGACTAGCACGTAGCCACTATATTTTAATCACACCGTGTTTTAGAATTAGTTTATTTATCCCGGACCAGGGCATCGCCGTCGGCTGATTTAAACTGTTTTCTCTAATTGTTACAAATAGCATTTGTATCGTGCGGAACGTAAAATTCAAGCTACATATCAAGCCTTAAGTAGTGCTTGCTCTTGAGTCGATTGTCGATGTTTGGATTCTAATCCCAATGAGTCAAGTGCTAGGGAGGAGACACTGATTGTAGATACTATTCTTCATTGTATCCTCCAGTGTGCCTACCATGAGTTTACGTTAGGTGTGCTCGCTAGCGACTGCGTAAAAAAATGACATTTAAATGTATGACATATTGTGCAGCGCCCCTAGTGGCTACTTTCAAGAAATAAGATCTTCATAGAATTTTTTGACGTATTCGCTAGCGAGCTCACCTAACGTAAACTCATGGTAGGCACACAGTTTTCTTTCCTACTACATTCTGTCGAATGCAATATCCAAACAAATATGAGAAGAAAGACCAAAACCGTTTTAACTGAAAGGACGTCCACTGCTGAACTGTCTTCCCCAAGGATTTCTATAATGAAAGGCTTATGCTGCCCCTACCCAGCTGCTACCCGTGACCTAGACCAGATCGTTGTTCCACCGAATGTACAAAGAAAGCTTATGCTTACATCTATTTAGGTATTAATATTAGATTTAGTTCTCTTACTTTAAAAGATCTACGTCTGAGTAGCCCATAAACGAGACCGTAATATTAACCATTAAACTCACCAACAACATTTCATAGGTAACAAAGCGAGAATAACTTGCGAAAACTTGTTTCAATAAGGATCCATTCCCAGGGAAGTCTATCGACACATTTACAATATCGATAACTTTCCACCCAAGTTAACATTGCTGGGCACGGTCGGAACAAATTGTTTGTTTTGTTTCATTCGGTCCCAACGCTTCGGTACGTCACTGGCTGTTAGAACAGTGTATACCAAAAAGTACTACGTTGGATAGCGTATTTTTTTAGAAAAATACGAACCATAATTATTAGTTGGATGATACAATTTTAAAAGCGTACGTTTTCAGTACGGTGTGGCTGATATGTGATTCGGAGGTATGAATAATTCCTATTTAGGAAAAGGTGTCATTATTGCTAGACAATAGTTCAGTTATATCACTCTCACACGTTAATAATTAACCTACATTTAAAGACGCTAGTAAGGTCCTCCCATTCAAGGTGATTCATATGACTCTTGAAACAGTCCAATTTTTCCAGTTTGAATCGTATTTCAAGTAATAAATGAACGAAAATATCCTATCATATCCTATTATATGGCTTATCCATGACAGTAAGATACTCGTACAAAGTATCTTGAAGATACACAACATTTAATAAACAAGGCATGCTTCGCCTTTAGTCAGTCAGTACAGCTACAAAAGCTCTAGCAACTTCGTAATACAATTAACGGTATGTTACTCGATCTCGCTATCAACGTACGAACTTTTCAACTTGCCAACTGTTGTAATAGTACAGACGGCTCATCAAGCTAAACATGGATCTAATGTAATAGTAATAGATGCTATTTTTCAATAAAAAATATTCTGATCTGCGAGTGTACGTACACTCGTGCAAAGTTCGTCCAAATGTATGTACGGCTAATCTACGTAATCATGTACTGTGAAAAGTTTCCTAATCGATTCTCTACTTCACTTTTCAATTGTGATTATTGTCCGCCTTTTTTAATGGGGACATACTCGTAGCTTTAATTCCATTAAAAATCCCAAGATACTTGCGTGAGAACTCAACAGCTATGGTTAGAAATGTCAACCGTAACTACGTAAACAAACGGCTGTCTACAGGATGTTAAAGAAACTGACTTTTTAAATTTAAATAAACAGAGACCTTTTATGTGTAGTCAGCGTCAAATAGATCGTGACACTGAAAGTGGTCAAAAATTGGAATAAGGTATTCCAATTTTAACAAAGATGTGTTGCGAACTTATTGGTTACTTAGGCTAAGTTGCACCATCTTACTTTAACTTTGACAAACGTCAAAAATCTGTCAAACTTCATACAAAATAAACCGGTTATCGCTATAGTTACGGTCAAAGTTAGGTGGTGCAACTCAGCCTTAGTGTGTCACAAACTATGTGACGCTGCATACAATTTTAGTAAAGACAGAATTTCTCCTTCCTCATTCAAATGTAATTTGTATTATCTGAATTATTTTCTACGAACAATTAGTGCTATTCTCCAAAAGTTATTTGCCCAAAGCGGCCGACTGATTTCAAGGAATTCTCTCTTGAATACCCTGTATATTTAATTACGAATTAAAATCATAAACGCCAAAGATAAAGTAGTTTCAGGGTGTCCAATTGTAATGAGATCACATCTGTCAGTCCACGTCGCCAAAGCTTTGTAGTGGCTGACCGCAATCATTTCGCTGGAGCACTACTAAATACTTGCCTTGGAGTTGCACCACATCCTTTTTGGAACAGCCAGCTCATTCAAATCAAATCAAAATCAATAATATTTTAATCTGTTACTATAGTTCGTCATTTTGACATATTATTATTTCCCACACTGAAACTGTCAATGTACCAAACTTATTCTTCAGTTAAAAGTTATCTGACGATTGAAAAATCAGCCCTTGGAATTATTTTATTTTGATATACATAGATAAAAATTGCAAATATCATTCTCATGATTTTCTGCATGCAAAGTGGGTCAAAGTGTCTGGCTATCATTTTGTATTCCATTATAGGTTCACAATAAATGGTCTACGATAAATATCTGAATTCAAAGTATGTATTTCTTGTTTTTTTTTTTTAAATTAAATTTATTGTGAAATAATGAAAATATTTTAATTAATAAACTACCAGCAGTGTCTAATTGAATTGCCGTCGACTCGAAAAGTAGAAAATTTAACGTGCCGCCGAGCGTCTCTCTTTCATTTCATTTTCTATCACTGTAGAAATGAACCAATTACGAATTTACGATCTGTAGCTTTTTAAAACTAGTTATAAGAATTGAAGTAGTAATAACCTTACGGCAACAGTTTATAGAGTTCTTCAAAACTAAGTTTTCAGAATCCTTGTCGTATTAGAGACACGGTATCGATACTGCGATTATCATTTTTTTTAAAGATCCCGTTAATTCCTAGTGGGAAGCTAATTAAATGCTTGTGTCCCACTTTAGTCGAACGGCGGCGGGGATTGAACCCGCGTTCTTCGGATCACGAGTCAGCCAATCCGACCGTTCGGCTATCGTCGCTTTATTTCATCTTTAATTATTCGCTCGCATTACTTCATCTTTAATTATTATTATTTTATTTTGAATTTTGTTGAAGAATTTATGTGACTTTGTGTGCAGCAAATAAATGTTTACTTTACTTTATTTGCTTATCGGCCGAGTGGTGTGCCTCTTCTGGCCAGCCTGTGTCACCAATCTACAACACCAGTCAACAGTGCCCGCTCTGGTGGCAAAGCGAAATTGCAGCAGCAGTGTCATTGTTCGTGTAAAGCTTCGGCAGCAGTACCTACTGTAGATCCCTGAACCTTGATCGATGAAACTTCAAGCGTTCATGTTAAGTGTGATATAAAACTACAAACTTTTAATTTGCGTCTGGTTCTCGTGACTTGAATGTGAAAGGTTAACGATATATACTTTTGTACTGAAAACTGTACTCACTATATTTTTAGGATTCCTTACCGTCCGAATTTAAACAAGCTTCCATAAAATTTTAAACCTTAAACCCTTTAAAATCTGTCCACTTGTCTCAATGTGACGTATTTATTGATTTTTTCTTGATGTTCCAAGTGCCAAGTTCTGGAGGAGGAAAGGAAAAACTGGATTCTTCTTTTTATATTTTGTATCGTTTATCCAAAACAAGGGCGATCACAACCCTATTTCAGCCTTCATAAACTACAAATTTCTGTTATTCAATTAGTAACTAATCTATACATATAAATTGGCGTGTTTTGGCGTTAATTATTGTAATTTATGAGCGCTTCTTCTCTCCAAACGCAGGCACTTACCGCTTTGACAACGTCGACAAGTCTGCGCTCGGAGCACCTGGCTTTTAATTAGTTTTTGTTCCGCACCGCTGGCGCTAGTGTGCCGCAGATTTCGCCCGTTTAAAGGCGAGTTAACTTGGTTTATTTTCGACGATATTTATGTTGCTACTACATTATTTAGTAAGTGGCTAAAGATCGCAGCGCGGAGTCGTGAGCTATGTGAAAGGAATGCTAGATGCCTTGTAAATTGGTAGGGGGTTAGCACAAAGCTGTAATGATTTATATAATTATTCTTTTGTTTATGTTGTCGAAACCATTTTTGGAAATATTGGAACCACCAAAAGTGTGACTTCGTTTGATCGGACCGAGACGCAACCACTTAACACGTTTTTCGATCCTTCTTTGTGAATTGCGACTGCTAAGATCTTCGCAAACGTCCGCATCACCAATAAACAGCCTTTATCCTATACGAAACTATAATAAAAAAATCCAGCTAAAACACCAGACATCCACGTATTTTAAAATAAAAAGAAATTAACTAACATTCCTCTGCTTCATGAGCATTCGCCAAAACGTTCCCCCGTGCTGACGTCCCACAAAACTTTTTCGCGGCCAAATATTTAACCAGACTCGTTAACCCGCGTTGAAATGAAACCACTGTGACCGTGCTCCCCGTCCGACCGCCGAAACTTCTAACTCCCACTCCCCACAGATGCTGGCTACCACACAGACAGAGCTCAAGCGGGACCACACAACCTAGTTCCCGCTCACCATACTTATGACAAGATACAATAATAAAATTGTGATTTAGCTACACACTGTACCAAATGATGCGTCCAAATTTTTGAAATTAGCTTTAGGTAGTGATGCGTTAGTATAGTCAGGTTGTGATGTTAGGGATTAAAAACATGTGGGCCGTCCGGATGAGTGTGTGCCGGACGGAGTGAATGGTGTCCGGAGGGGGATGGGTGTGTGAGCGAGAGCGATGGCGGCCGTGGCCGGCTTGTACGGACTGGGCGACGAGCAGCGCGCTCGCCACCGCCGCGGTCAGGCCAACGCCGAGCGCTCCGAGTCCAGGGACGACAACACCGAAGCGTAAGTCCTAGTCTTTAGTCATCATCATCATCATCTTAGCCATAGGACGTCCACTGCTCAACATAGGCCTCCCCCAATGCTTTCCATGTTGCCCGGTTGGTAGCGGCCTGCGTCCAGCGCCTTCCTGCTACCTTTATGATGTCGTCGGTCCACCTTGTGAGTGGACGTCCCACGCTGTGTTTTTCGGTACGCTGCCTCCACTCCAGAACCTTGCTGCCCCATCGGCCATAACCTTAAACATACTAGTTCTAATTGCTATGTGACCCATCAAAAGCCAATGACCTTAAAACTACCATAAGATCTTTCTCGGTTCATCTCTTGGCCATCAGTCATTAGGCCACATTGGCATGGACCAAAAAAAAATGTCATGAGCCAGAGATTAGAGATGATTAGACTAAAATGCACCTGGTTCCTGGTGACAGTATTGTATTTTTTTTACCATGGACATAATTTCGTCTTCTGATGCGTCACAATGCAACTGTATTTTTAGAACGTGTAACGTGCTTTATTGTATTTCCTATAAACAACTATTACCTAAGGCCCAGAACAGACGGTGAAACGCAACTGCAACGAAACTGCAACTGCTAGTTACTTTTGAGTTGCATCTAAATTTCAAAGTGGTCGGGTCATGTGTGGTCTCTCAACGGACGCTATGGCAGAAACTTAGATGCAACTCAAAAGTAACTAGCAGTTGCAGTTTCGTTGCAGTTCCGTTTCACCGTCTGTTCTGGGCCTAAGTGAGTCTTTCACGAAAATGTTTGAAATCTAACTGATGTTTTCACCTCCCTTGCCACGTGACTGCGCCATGGATAAATGATCCAGGTCGTTCCTACACAACTGTAATTTGTCACAGCGGGGGAAACCCGTCACAACAACTCAGCTCCTAATTATTGTTGTGCCGCTGCTTTCCTTCCATTAAATCTCGCATGGCGTTCCCTGCAAAACGCGTTGATTGCCTAAGAACAGTTACGTACTATATCCGATCCGAAATACAGATCTACAGGATGTCCCAGAACGGGTGAATCAAACTGCTAGGGGAGGTAGCTCTACTAATGTACTATCCCTAACCAAGATGAAAAAAATAAAGCGCATAAGGACAATTTTTTTTTTTAAAGTGAAAATAAATCAGCTTTGCCTAAGTATCTGGCTATAATTGCTGCGTTTGGAGTTTATTTGTACTTTTTTCTTACTAATATTAATTGTACATGATCGCTTCGTTTATTAGTAAACAAACATCTGAAAATAATGACACATATTTTTCATATTGTTTAGGGATAGTACATTAGTAGAGCTACCTCCCCTAGCAGTTTGATTCACCCATTCTGGGACACCCTGTATAAGAAATCAGATGACGTATATCGGATCTAGAATGTAAAGTACCTAGCAAACCAGACCGTATCAATCTAAATCGAATTTGAATCGGATGTTGAGTGAATACATAGCAATCCTCTCTTTACAGCTCGTAAATTGTGACATTTTCTATTACCTAATAACTTTACCACCACTATATCACGTTAGTCATTTAGCTGATTTATATGGTCTATATTTAAACCGTGATGACATTTAGTGGCATTATAAACAACGTTGCACAATTCAAAAACATAATGCACCCGTGAGGTTAGGTAGTACTAACACGTATAACGAATAAAAGAGATTTAGAAAAGCAATGCTGCCTCCGAAAATAAGTTCCTCAGCAGTGCATTAGACGTGTACCTATATGTCTTATGTATGTATTGTGGTGCTCATAGTGACCCGGGGCTTATCTTGATAGAGTGCGGCTCGCCTAAGAGTGGTGTAGTGGTCTATAGTCAGATCACTCCGGGCTCGAGGTATACTCACTTGTTCTGTAGTTGGGTAACATTAACTTTGCTTCACCCTATATATCTAAAGTAATTGTTATTTTAAACTTGTTTTTAATTCTAATTACAATACAAAATGTTATTCTTCGTTTGTTCGTTTCAGCCGAAAGACGTCCACTGATGGACAAAGGTTATTCTTGATAACGTATTTTTAATGTCTTCTTTAAGATAATTATTTTCAGTGCCATATGTACAAAACCTATCCAATGCAACAACCTAATCGAATAATCTTTCAATGCAAAATTATGGAACCAAATAACCAAGTTTTAAAAAATGGAACGCTTGAAACATAACACTATCGTTTGTTTCGTGCTATGCAAAACAAATGACAATCATAATAATTATCAGTTGTAAATTTTTGGTGGAGCATTGGTTCTCAACTTTACTCGTAGTAACAAAAGTTGGCATAGAGAGTACCTAATTAATATATTGGTAAATGATTTGAACAATCTGTAAAGTACCAGTTAGTTGCTTTCATATTAATATTTTCGTAAATAAGTATTACATGACTGTTTGTATGATGACAACCAATATTTATGACATAACTATATTATTATTAGAAAATACTAAACGTGCCATCTGTTCACGTCACAAACTTAAAATCAGATCGATATTAACGAGTTTAGTTTCGTCCTTCTAGTTGTTTCGGGAAAATGCCGGCCTTTGTTATTGGCTGCGGCATTACGGTCTTTGTGAAAGTTTGTAATATTACCGCTGTACTTATTATTTGTAAGTTAATTGGGTAAAAAACTGAACTTCACGATTTGTGCTGTCGGTCATTGATGGATGTTTTTTATTACAAATGAAGTATGGGCACAGAATACACTTTTACTGTTTTACCCAATAATAAGTTCAAAGAAGAGTGATGACTCTGAAATAAATAAATTATTTAACAACGATGTTTATACTACTACTTTGGTTAACGAAATTTATAGAAGGATTTGTATCCTTCAAAAACTCTGACGTTCAAAAACATTACCTTTAAAAACTCTGACGAATGTCTCTCTCAAAGACGATGTTAAAATTAACATTCCTATACCCTTTGGTAGCACGAAGACGCTTAAGTGGCTTAAAGCAGACATTAAGAAGATTTCAACTAATGATGTTAATGAGGAGCGATAGTTAGCGACTACGACGCTTAGTTTGTAACGTGTAGAAGCCAAACGTTAGTAACTGAATGTGAACTGCAAACGTGTGTTCACCAGGTTTGAGTTGCAGTTACAAGCTTTGCTCAGTGAGGTTCAGTGACTAACGAAGTTTCTGTAGTTTGAGACGAGTGCAGACTGATGCACGGGACTTTTCCTACCTCTAGTTACGAATTCAAACAATAATTGGAAGCCAGTATCTATAGATTGACTATCAAAACGAAACCAGCCGGCTAGGATGCGCGCCATGATAAAATCTTATCGATGATTTTAGACTTTTAGATGGGTTTGATCCTAGGCCTACAGATGAGATTAAACTAGTCCCGAGAACAAACTAAGTTGTGATTTAAATCGATAACTCAAAATGCAAGAAAATCTATTTTGAATCGATTTATGAATGTATGTTACAGCTATACTATAAAGTATTTCTATTTACTGTCAGATTCTTATGTCAAGACTGACCTGTTGTAGATACATAGATAGATACCTAATAATAGATCACTCTGATGCTATTTATGTGTCGAGAAAAATAATCGTTTATGACTAGGGCTTAACAATTATAACAAATAAATTACAATGTGGGTGGTCTTGCAAGTTGTACCACTCTTATGTGAGTCACATAGCACCATTCTATACTGGCCTTAACAACACTTTTTGAAACTCCCACCTGCCTCGAGTCAGCAATGTGGAGCCGTAATAGAATACTGCCGCGGATCGGATACTGCAAATATCCGCCATTCAGCCGTCAAAGGCTTACTCCGGCTGAGCCGTATACAGCTTCGGAACGACAAAGACGGCTCTAGTGCATCTTTGAGCCAGCAATGCACTGGCTTAGCGTGTTATTAGCTGAGTGGGCGGCTATAATGATGTGCTGGAAATCTAAATATACATATATTACTCAAAGGTGACTGACCGACTGACTGACTGACATAGTGATCTATCAACGCACAGCCAAAACCACTGGACGGATCGGGCTGAAATTTGGCATGCACGTAGATGTTATGACGTAGGCAGAAGCTAAGAAAGGATTTTACGAAACTCCACCCCTAAGGGGGTAAAACGGGATCCACGCGTACGAAGTCGCGGGCGGCCGTTAGTTGTTTATAATTCGATTAAATATTTTGGGAATGAAATAAATTTATTATTTTTATAAAACAATATATTTATTAATATTAGTTATTATGCTTACAATTATTATGCTTACCTTGAGTCTGACACTAACAATTCACTAATTACGTAAAGTCAAAACGTTACGTAAACAGTTATCAAAATAACTTAAAATTTCTCCAAATATTTATTTAGTTTTATTTGTTCACATACAAAAAACAACAGTTTTTTTATATATCAACAAACTTTTGTCAAGACGGGATCGGACAATGGTAAACTATTTACCACTTCTTTAAAATGTCTAAATTATATGAATAAATCAATTGCAGACACTGCCTATAAGTGAGATTATACAATAAATCTTATAGTTTAGGAATTTGAATCGAAAAAACACTTATCAGAATTTTCGTTGAACAAAGTTTCAAAAATACCAAAAATGCGCGCTAAAAACATGAAATTTTTCACACCAAAACCGTTTGGTTGACTTTGACATTACCTGACAGTGACAAATGACGTTGAAAAGTAGTAATATGGCATAGATAAGTTAAAAAATATATCCACTTTTCGGTTTTTCGCTTAATCCTCGGAAACTATGCGTCCTAGTGACATGACTACTTTGAACCAAAAAAAGCGTATTCAATTTGCTACAGGTGAGATAGACAAGTTTTTCTATAAATTGTATAGTTTTCGCGGCATCTGCTCTAGAAGGTCTGTAATATTGGAAATTTTATTTTTGTCTTACATGTTCCCATCAGGAGAAAATCGACTAAATCAACATTGAGCAATCATTCTAGACATGCGGGAGCATGTTAAGCCTAGTACCAGGGAGGGGACTGCACCGTGCGTATATTTAGACGAACCACTTTGAGCCACTTTTGACTCCTCATCA